TGGGCGCCCATAACCTGTTGATCTTCATCATCTCGTACTGCCCTGCTGTAGCTAGGTTCCACAGTCTCACCAGGCAAATCCCTCAGGTTTGGGTTCTCTGTCCCTTGATGGCCTTCCATGTTCTGAAATGCACGCCTTCTAAAAAAGAGCTCCGTGATCACAAGTCAGACATGGGGCGCGGTCGAATTGAATACTCTTTTCTCGGGCACACAAGCAACGTCTATGCTGGTTCAGCTCTGCTGCTTGACACTTCTACTGAGAACTGTGATGCGTCTTGAGTGCTGAGCCCTCAAGAGCCGAAATTCCTACGGAGGAGCATATCCAGCTGTACAGACGGTTCTCTGGAATTCTACAATTATGATAAGGAGCCCCAAAGTAATAGAGGTAATTATTAAGGCCCAAACGAGGTTTTAGCAGTAATAGAGCAGTACAAACTAAAAACGGCAACTTTTCAGTTCAATGGGTTTGCTCTCAGTAAGGAAGTGATACGAAAAGAAATACTCCGTGAATGTTTTGATTTCTGGCTCGTTGGTTGGAGAGACTACTACAAATCAACAACAGAGGAGATTATGGAATACGTAGATTATGTATTTTCATTGTAACTAAATCATCATAATATTATTTTGGATCTTAATAATGTGATGGTTGTGCGCTTTATTCAGTAACTTGATTTTTGTATTTTGCTTTCTATTTGTTTTGTTGGCTTCTTGCTTTTTGTTTGTTTTTGCTCAGTGTTTTGTACGAGTTTTTATTATGTATCAATATTTTAAAATATTTAATACAAGAAAACCCAAAAATCCCTACACCATATGTGTCAAACTTGACTTTATTGTTTATTTTTTGTTGTATTTTTGTTTTTATCGTTTTTATGTTTTTGGTATCGTTTTATATATTAAAACATATGTAAAATTAACCAAGGCAGCCCTTTCAGGGCTTTTTTCAACCCTATACCTCAGACTACCTATGGATGAGGAGGTCCTCAGGATTGGGGAGTTTGGACTTTTAGGTTTTAGGGTGTAGGGCTTGGGGTTAAAGGTTTAGGATTTAGGGCTAGCTGTGGCATTTTGGAACTAAGGAGTTGTAGTGTGCGTAGGCGTGACATGCAGGAAGGCTTGAGGACGCCTTCTGTACAACCTCCGGCTTGTGGGTGTTCGGGCCCCCCTTCTCAAAAACGACTTCCCTGAAACGTCACACCCTTCAAGCTAAAGACAAGGGTGGTGGGGGGAGGGGGGGTTGGGCATCAGCTGGAAATCGTCAGAAATACAAAGAGTTGCATGTTTACAAGAGCCTCCAACCTAAAGCTCGGGTTTGTTGCATGCTTTCTTTTCTGCCCTTCGTCGTGCTCTTCATTCAGCCTTTGCCTCGTGCAGTGCGCCTACTGTGTCCTCATGTTTGTTGTCTCTGTGCTTTTCTATCTCCAAAACCTTGGTTTGCATCACGACATCGACTGCACGGCTTCCTTTTGAGTAGCTGTTCGGTTCGCCAGCTTTGGGCTTCAGACGGTTGGCAGCCAAGCAAGCAACTGAGCGAGACCACCAAGCAGCTTTCTGGCTCTCGCCCTTGTGATGGCGACAGCTGAGATGGTTACTGAGGCTTTGATGCTTTCAATGTTTGGTAGGAGGACAACACTTTTGACACCAGCGACTTGCAAGTCATCACGCCAAACTTTCGTTCATCAAGACCTCGTCCATTTTCTGAATCTTCTTCTGCGCCTTCGACATCTCGCTAGTGCCACCCACATCAACCAGGTACAAAGCACCAGCACCATCCTTGAAGAACATGTCGGCACACGGATGGTTCCCCTGGGCATAGTAAAGAGTGGCGGTCTGCATCTCCGCAACTTTGGCAGAGTCGAGGCTCTTGTTCTCTTGGAAGATGTAGCCGGGCTGAACGTTTTTGCACTGAAAGGGAACCAACAGCTCATCAAAATCCAGCCGGCTGAATTTGTACGACCTGCAAGCCAGCGTCCAAAGATAAGCGTATTCCAATATCTTCCCAGCTGTTACTGCAGCTCTTGGACTCGTTGTCAGTGCTTGTCTGAAGATTTTTTGACAGGAAACATGTAGCATATTGGCAGGACTGAGAGAGTCATCGTCTCCGTCACGAAGTAGCACCTCCAATGGTGCCGTGAGTATGTCCCCTAGTGCCACCACCTGCGGGAAGCGCTTCTCTTGAACTCTCCTATCGTTTTCTTTGATGCTACAGAGCAGGTCGACTAGGCTGGTCTGCTCTTCTGCCGAATCATCCATCCACGTCTTGTTGCAATCCTGGATGCATTGCTCAAGCCCTTGGACATCGTTGTCGGCATTCCTCAGAGTCTCCTTGAGGTCCTTCAAGAACTGGTCAATCTTACTGGATTCAAGGGGCAAGCCGGCAAGGAGGAGTTTCTGCAAGGCAAGCCCGAGTGTGACGCGCAAAGTTGCCACCCGAAGCTGAATAGCCTCATTCTCCACGATGCCCTGCATGGGCAGGCGCCTTTTCATGATTGTCCCCACGTCTGGAAGCAAACACACGATCGGTCGTCGGCAGGTTTCGGAGGACTTCTGCTGGGGCAGGGGTGGTATGTCGGTGTAGGTCGCCAACACCTGGACACCAGGAAGCTCTGCAAGTACCCTCATGGCACCTTTTCGGAAGTGTGGGTCTGGACACATACACCGGTGCTCATCTACGTGCACCAACAGCGTGCCACTTGGGTTGCGCTGCGTGAAGGTGGAGATGTCCTTCTGGAGCAGCTTCTTCGTAGTGTTGAAATTCCACAATGGCTTCCAGTCCTGCAGATATCTTGTGGGTTCACAGTGCAAGTGCAGGAGACGTCGAAGGAAGCGAAAACGTTGCCCAAAGGCTTGTGCTTTGAAGCAATCCCTCATGTAAGACGCACCCAGGGCTTCACGCAGTTTGGTGCGCTTCCCACATGCTTTCTCCAGCTGATCCTCGTCTATAGAATCATGGTTGTTTCCGCTATTGTTGGCAAAGGGCATGTGCAAGTAATGACTGAGATTCATAGAAAGCTGCCCGTCCACGGTGTTTTGCTCTATGGCACGAAGGAAGCCCACCAACACTGATGCAGACTTTCCGGAATGGGAGGCTGCTGCGATGTATGCAGCTGTTGGTCGTTGCTCGTCTGCAGCTATTCTTGCCGCAAAAGCGTCCAAGTCAGAGTACCTGACGTAAAACAGGAGCTGATACAACTTCAACGGTTTCGAAATCCCGCGCTCCCTCACAGGCAAGGATGCTGTGTATGTATCATAGTCCTTCGGCAAGGGAACTGCATCCGCTTGCATGTTTTCTTGAAACAATCTTGCAACTTGCGATTGATTCCACCAGGCTGACACCACCACTGTGTTTCACTTGCAGCCATCCTGACAAAGTCTCGACGATGTGGAATGACATGTCTTACAAAGGCTGCTGGAGCCCAGCACGCCAGAACCCACACAAAAGGAAGAGCTGACAGCCCGAGGCACGGATGCTTCTTTGCATTACGCTTCATGGCAGCGACATGGCAAATGGCAAAACCTGGTCCAAGTCTGTGTAGACTGCATGCTCAAATCGAGAAGATACAGCTTGAAGTGTGCAAGGTGATTAAAAATGAAGTGGAAAACGTTTTCTTGTTGACGTGAGCAAAAACTGGCACGACGGCAAAAGGTCGAGTTATGGTTCTCTGTAAAGCGTTGCCAGCACTCCAACCCACAGCCTTTAAAGTGAAGTGTAGTGGATATTTTGGGCGTCATACTGTGATGGTGAGGTGCGCGGTGTCACCCAGCGCGGCAAATGTTAACCATGAATGAACAAACCTAGCCGTGCTCATTTTGGGATGACAATACCACCTTAGGGAATATGGATGGGGTAATTGAAATTGGCTATTCCTATACTGGTCTTGGTAATGGGGTAGTAGTAGTGATATATTGGG